ACACTTATATCAGAGTAGCGACACTTACCTCAGGGTAACTATACTTCTATCAGGGTATCTACACTTACCTCAGGGTAACTGCTCTGATGTTAGTGTCGATACCCTGATATAAGTGGGTGTATATTAATATAAGTGCAGTTACCCTGATGTAAGTATATCTACCCTTAAATCAGGGTACCGACACTTACATCAGAGTATCTACACTAACATCAGGGTAACTATACTTATATCAGGGTATCTACACTTACATCAGGTTAACTATACTTATATCAGAGTATCTACACGTACATCAGGTTAACTATACTTATATCAGGCTATCTACACGTACATCAGGTTAACTATACTTATATCAGGGTATCTACACTTAAATCAGGGTACCGACACTTACATCAGAGTATCTACACTAACATCAGAGTATTTACACTAACATCAGGGTAACTACACTTATATCAGAGTAGCTACCCTTATATCAATGTACGTATACGTAAGAGATATATAAATTTCGTGAGAACGTATATATATTTTGTTACGTTAGAGTATTTATACTTCCATCATAACGTTATTTAACTCGAATGGGTACACGAGGTTTCAGTTGTTTGTTAAATATTGTAATCTTAAAGTAAAACTGAAATATTAAATTTTACAGCAGATATAATTTGGCGCAAACAGCTTTTAGGTAAACGTGAAAAAAATTAATATATATTTCAATGACGGAATTTTCTCCGTGACAAAAAAACAACAGACATATACATGTATTTCAATGACGGACTTTTCTCCGTGACAAAAAGACATATATTTCAATGACGGACTTTTCTCCGTGACAAAAAAGACATATATTTCAAGGACGGACTTTTCTCCGTGACAAAAAAAGACATATATTTCAATGACGGACTTTTCTCCGTGACAAAAAAAGACGTATATTTCAATGACGGACTTTTCTCCGTGACAAAAAAAAGACATATATTTCAATGACGGACTTTTCTCCGTGACAAAAAAAGACATATATTTCAATGACGGACTTTTCTCTGTTACAAAAAAAGACATATATTTCAATGACGGACTTTTCTCTGGCATGAAAAGTAGTATGTGAATACACCCTTAAGTTTATGCAAGTAGGATTTAACTAAATTTACCCAAACATATAAACATTATCATAACATACTTCTATAAGTTTGGTAATTCAAACATTATTTTGTCTCATCTCGTTGGTTTGGTTTTAGTTCACCACAAAGCTACACAAAAAGCTATCTGTTTTATAAGCCTTCAGACTCACTGCTGTGCCATTGAGAAGAGGGGGTTCACATCTATAAATGCCTCCCTGTTGTAAGAATTCTAAAAGATTACTACAATAACTGGTTTTAGTTCACCACAAAGCTACACAAAAAGCTATCTGTTTTATAAGCCTTCAGACTCACTGCTGTGCCACTGAGAAGAGGGGGTTCACATCTATAAATGCCGCCCTGTTGTAAGAATTCTAAAAGATTACTACAATAACTTATTCAGTACTTCTCAACTCGTGCACAAGACAATAACAGATAGTTCAAATATTGTCTCACGTTAGACAGTGATATAGACTCTCGAGCGGTAATTCTGAAACAGATTTAGACAAGTTATTCTTTTGTGTTATTTTCGCCACTTATAGCGGTTACAAAGCAACGCTTCTGTGCCTACTCCAAAAACACCAGCTTTGTGTTGTTTAGGCAACTAGTAAACAACAATATCTTTCTTGTATTTCCAGTGCTATACGCAACCTATTCTGCATATTCAATGTTTTGGATTTGTTAGTTTGTTTGTCTTTTACTTTGCATTTAGGATGTTTGATTTAAAACATTTGATGCCAAGGTGCGGAATGAAAAAAATGTTATTATTGTTAGTTCTTTATTCTCTTAGTAGAGCATTAAAACACATTTTGTGTGACACGCTTGAAGAGAGAGAGAGAGAGTTTACAATGCCACAAAAAATGGTTACCGCTGTCATTAAAATAATATTGCGAAAGATCGTCTTAACGATTCGAGGTTAGTTTTTCAGGTGTCGTGAGTTAAGCCAATAAAAGTCGTTGTTAGCATTATACATGCTGTGATATATCTAATAGAAAAACAATGTTTTCCCCTTATAATTCACTCTACCAGCTTCGTGGTCCAGTCATTATAAAGCTAATAATTGCTAAATAACCTTAGGGTTTGAAAAAGTGGGACTCAATGCCTATGATACCTGGCCTTTTACGAGGCAGTGTAGTTGTCTTACTAGACTGGGTACAAGAAGAAATTGAAGAACCCTGAGCTCATCTGATGCACAGTTGTTGTTGTTTTTTGTATTAAATGGGAGAGAGGACAAAGACCTCAATTCTTTATGAATAATACAACACGATATGTACAGAAACGCGTACTTAATAGAAACAACTTAATATCCGCGGTTGTTCATTTTCTTGTCGTTGAATCTATTTCACGACTAGATTAAATCCAATATTTTCTAGTAACTCTCTTTAAGAAAAAAAGAAGGAGAAGAAACAGGTGTTTAATTATCAATCATATCCTTCAGTAACACATGTTTGGTTAACTTATTAAATTAATGCATAAACTAATAATAATTAATAAAGACGAATCCGGCGCGGCCTAGTGGTTGGTGTGCCCTATATGTGTGAATCCGAGGTTTTATGGTTTACGTCCCGTTGTCGCAAAAAATGTCTCCCCAATTTGGGCCGTGGGTACACAATAAAAGTGACAGTAAAACCTCTCTATTCTAATCACAGAAGTGTCATACAACAATTGATAGAGGATGCTGTTGACTAGCAGATAGAGGGTGCTGTTGACTAGCAGCTGTCTCTTTAACCTATTGGTTCAAAATTAGGGACAGCTGTAAACAAATAGCCCTAGAGTAACTTTACACGAGAAACTAAATAAATAAAAAGAGTGATGCTGAGAAGCCTCGATTCACAAAGAACAGAATATAAATGATAATCTAAGAAATGCTGATGATGTCGTTGGTTAAAAAAATAAATCAAAAGGACACTAAATTCGATTATCCTCCTAAACATTAGTAGAACTTTCGTATTTCTTCTGCTTATCTTTTGTTTAAATTTAGCTTTGATTTTCTGTAACTTTGGAGGCAAAAAATATAAGAAGAATCTAAAAAAAGGCAAATAAAATAATTTTCTAGCCATTCGTTGGGAGTAAAAACTCGTAAACCAATCAAGAACCCTTACATACTCGTTTTTATTTTACTTTTGAATAGGAATAGATTAACAAATATTAAACCATTACGAAACAAGTGTGTTTAAAATTAAATATTGAGAAAAATAATAAATGAGTCTGTTACATGATTTGCTAAAAACATGAAATCATGACGTAAGTTTTATCTTTAATTGTAAAGGTTGAAAAACTGACCCCTAACATTAATTTTCATCAATACATAAAAAAGTTTAAGGAATACATAATCAGGTTGGCTTTAAGGAAACAAAAGATATATTTTAGCGCTTCTTCCCTTTATGAGAAAATATATACATGTCAAAAACTCTAGGGCTTTATCGTGTATTTTTAAACCAATCTATCAAAGTGTTTTAGTGTGTATTTTTAAGGTAACCTACCAAGGTGTTTTATCGTGTATTTTTTAAGGTAACCTGGTGTTTTATCGTGTATTTTTAAACTAATCTACCAAGGTGTTTTATCGTGTATTTTTAAGGTAACCTATCAAAGTGTTTTATCGTGTATTTTTAAACTTATCTACCAAGGTGTTTTATCGTGTATTTTTTAAGGTAACCTGGTGTTTTATCGTGTATTTTTAAACTAATCTACCAAGGTGTTTTATCGTGTATTTTTAAAGTAACCTATCAAAGTGTTTTATTGTGTATTTTTAAACTTATCTACCAAGGTGTTTTATCGTGTATTTTTGAAGGTAACCTACCAAGTTGTTTTAGTGTGTATTTTTTAAAGTAACCTACCAAGTTGTTTTAGTGTGTGTTTTTTAAAGTAACCTACCAAGATGTTTTATAGTGTATTTTTTAAGGTAACCTACCAAGGTGTTTTAGTGTGTATTTTAAGGTAACCTACCAAGGTGTTTTTATCGTGTATTTTTTAAAGTAACCGGACAAGATGTTTTATAGTGTATTTTTAAGGTGATCTACCAAGGTGTTTTAGTGTGTATTTTTAAGGTAACCTACCAAGGTGTTTAACTGTGTATTTTTTAAGGTAACCTGCCAAGATGTTTTAGTGTGTATTTTTAAGGTAACCTACCAAGGAGTTTTATCGTGTATTTTTTAAGGTAGCCTACCAAGATGTTTTAACGTGTATTTTTAAGGTAACCTACCAAGGTGTTTTATCGTAGGTATTTTTTACCACAAAGACACTTTCAGTTTTTACACTTAATACAATGTGATGATATTTGGAAAATTAAAACAATGCCGTTCATTGGTATGTTACAGTCTTCACGATATTTTAACCCTCAGAAATAAGGATAAAAAATGTTTAATATATCTCTACGTAAAAATTTCCTTTCTCTACGAAACTTTGCGTGTCTTTTCAAATAATTACACGTTTACACCAAATACCAAATGCATTTCTTGTGGTTCATTAGTTTGTTTAAAGCATATAATTGAGTATTTAATTTTCTTGATCTTCTTTCCTCTTATCCAAATAAAGAAAATGAGGTCTTCCTTTTTTTTTTGGATCGAAAAATGGCACATGCAAGACTGTTCCACAGTGTGTGTGGATCAAACAACTTTTACTGGTTCATTCAGCCATTCTTTCTTCTTATTGGCTAAGAAATGAGGGTAGGAACTCGAAAAGCACAAACTTTGATGTCATCAGTGCTGCAAAACAAAACAACGTAAATGTACAGGAAATCAAATTGGATAGAAATTAGCCCAAGTGTGTGGTGCTTCTTTGGAGCGTAAAAACGTATAGGTCACGTGCTTTACGTGCTAACTATGCTCAGGGTTATGCGGTCAGTGTTTTTTTTCTACGCCTGTAACCCAAACTCAGAATCATATAAATATTGGACTGTGACATCCTAGTAGCAGTCAGAAGACAGTTCTTATCCGTAAACAGCGAAGATGCTTCCTAAGAAGGTAAGTTTCCTGCATCTCTTTGTAAAATAAGCCAGATATACGACTAGCGCCCCATCTATTAGTAGTAACCCACACTACACGCAATGTTTTATATATCAACATTTGATACTATACTGTTTACTTACTTTAAACTTATTTTACTATTATACTGGAGAAAAATGGATTATTTTCTATTTATTTGAGTATTTATAGATTTTAGATTTGGTAGAAACTGTCTTTACCTGTCTTTTTGTTCATACATTTTTTTTTTCTTTCTTGTTAATCACGTAGCTACGCAATGCTCTATGTATGCCCTGTCCCCTATAGGGATGGAATTCAGATTTTAAGCCTTATAAGCCCTCAAACTTATCACTGAACCACTGGTGAGGAGCTATCGCTCTTACAAATCTCTAATAATAGTACAACTATGGCTACATCTCTCATGTTGTCTCTTAACAATCTATAATAATAGTACAACTATGGCTACTGCTCTAATGTTGTCTCTTAACAATCTATAATAATAGTACGACTATGGCTACATCTCTCATGTTGTCTCTTAACAATCTATAATAATAGTACGACTATTGTTACATCTCTCATGTTGTCTTTTAACAATCTATAACAATAGTAAGACAATGGCTACATCTCTCATGTTGTCTCTTAACAATCTATGATAATAGTACGACTATGGCGACATCTCTCATGTTGTTTCTTAACAATCTATAATAATAGTACGACTATGGCTACATCTCTCATGTTGTCTCTTAACAATCTATAATAATAGTACGGCTACGCTTTCATAGTCTTACATACTTCTGTCCTACCTCATACTTCCTTTCTTTTGTTTTAATGCAAGCTTTAATCTCTCCCTCCCAATTTTATAAGAACTTGATGAATTTTAAGATAATTATAAGAAGTAGTTTAAAACGTAATAATGTTGAACGTGTCTAATTCACAGAAATAAAACAAAATATAGTTATGATAATATAATATAATAATAGTATTACTACACATTAATGGTCTTACCTGCTTCTCTCTTAATTAATTTTTCTTTATCTCCCTCTCCCTTTTAATCGCCTTGATAAACGTTTAGGATAATTATAAGAAGTAGTTTAAAACGTAATAATGTTGAACGTGTCTAATTCACAGAAATAAAACAAAATATAGTTTTATGTAACACAAACATTCTATCAACTCATTATATCCGAATTAAACAACAATCTATAAAGCTATTTTATGATATTTTTCACGTCAACATATTTCCCTAATGTTTCTTTCAGGAGTTTATATTGCTCTCTATGAGCATCCTGATTTTTGTTTCGAAAGCTGAGGAAACCGTAAAAGCCAGTGAAACCGCGAAATCGGATGATCTCCAGGCTGAAGCCACTGGTTACGGCGGAAGTAGCGGAGGTGGTGGAGGCTTTAGCAGTGGTGGTGGTTATGGTGGAAGCTTTAGCAGTGGTGGTTATGGTGGAAGTAGCGGAGGATTTAGTAGTGGTGGCCATGGTGGAAGTAGCGGAGGTGGATTTGGTGGAGGCGGACATAAAATAACACTGTTAGCCATTCCTGTTTCCATTTCTTCTGTTGGCAAAGGAGGAGGTGGAGGTGGTTATGGTGGCAGTGGAGGAGGTGGAGGTGGTTATGGTGGCAGTGGAGGAGGTGGAGGTGGTTATGGTGGCAGTGGAGGAGGTGGAGGTGGTTATGGTGGCAGTGGAGGAGGCGGTTATGGCGGTGGCGGTGGAGGTGGCGTCAGTGGAATTACTCTTTTAGGACTTGTAGGAGGTGGAGGTGGAGGACACGGTGGTGGTGGTAGTTTTGGAGGTTTCAGCAGTGGAGGGAGCTTTGGTAAGGGAGGACATGGTGGTGGAGGTTACGGCAGTAGCGGTGGCTTTGGAGGTGGGAGCAAAGGTGGCGGAGGCTATGGCAGTAGCAGCAGTGGTGGCTATGGTGGTGGAAGTAGTTTTGGAGGTGGTGGCAAAGGTGGTGGAGGCGGTGGTTATGGCTCCTGGGTTAGTAGATCTTTTTAAGATTAATCTTTTTCACTATTTGAATTGAAATGTCCGAAGTAATATATGAAGAATCTGATTAAGAGCTAACACGTGTCATTATATAAACTTGTTATAATTTGATTGTATGCCTTATGGAAGTTCTCATGTCTGTGTAGTTGAAAATATTCTCATTAACATGACGTCACTTTTATTTATCATATTTACTAAGCCTAACAAACAAGGTTGTTTTTAATTAACTAAATTCGACATCAAGCTGATTTATTCACCGTTTTGAATTAACAAAATGTTCTATTATTTTAAATTTCAGTAAGAAGCCAACTACAAGAGTTTCCTCCTCATTCCAAACACTACGATGGACCTTCAGAAACTTGAAATTAGACAACTTCTTACTAACAAAGTACATTGATGCCGAATGCCTTTTAGCCATCTTTGAGCTAATAAGGGCTTTATGTATTATAGTTTTTATGAATAAAATGACTCTTATTTTTTTTAATCAATGTCTGTCAAGCCTTATAGTTTCTCAATATTTCCTACGTAAGACAACAACAAATTTAGAACGCAAGATAAAGATTCACTTCTCTCCTAAGTGTTAATTAATAGAACTTTCAACAGCTTATAGAACATAAGTTTCGTTCCTTAAATCAGTATTCAAACATTTTTTTATTTTCTACACATATATCAAACAATCCTCAAATTAACTAATATTGTGACATTATCTTGAAATATCTGTTTTAAGTTTAAAACATTCTCATTTCTCTTTAACTCCTACAGAAGTATTTCTCTTGCCAATGTATAATAACAACATGATTATTTAGTTTCTTCAACTTACGTATCAAAACAGGTGTACTTTCTTTTATCTACACAATAATTTACCTAAAATCTTTAACTTTCTTGACCTTATGTACTAACATTTTTTCCCCTTAATTCATCTTTCTGTTATATTACTAATACGACGGTTTTATTGATCTGTACTTTCTTTTTTATCAATACTTTCTCCACATTTACTAACACTATTCTATCTTGTTATTCCTACATTGACTACATCTCTTCCACTCATTTCTATTTATATAGATGAACGCCATTATTTCTGTGTATCTGTTCCTTATACGTTTCCACATTTCTTGATCAATCAGCACCAAACTTGACACAGAGATGCAGGTCATGAGGGGGGTGGACCCCCATTTAATTTCAAATTGATAGAATTCTTGAAAACAGTATTTCTTTCTTTTCAATACTGGTATTTTTATTGCACTTTTAATGTTTATCACGTTAAGAAAAAAGCCGAAAAATTGAAACACAATTTCCTATACTTTGTTACAAACCAGCTAGTTATCCCGTCTCTCATTTTGTTGTCCATAGTTTTAAATTAACCCTAACATCTATTTTATATCCTTTACTTTCCTTTTGATGCTGTTTATCTGGGCTATTGCTTCTTCTCTTTATATTTCTGCCACACTACTATTTGTGATCCTCTCTCATAGGGGTTATCATGCCAGGCTGCATATCGAAAGGTCCAAAGTTCGAGTTGCGATACATCGACCAACGTGCTTCGCACTTGATAATGGAGAAGCGCTGTAACTGTGTCAGTTAATCCAGCTGTTCGGTTAAGAGTAGCCACATTAACGGGGGGGGGGGTACTGTTGATCGGTTTATTTCTTCTGGCCGTTTAGCACATGTGTTGAAAACACCAAATACTTTCTCAGTGTAATAACATGTGTCTACCAAAGGCGTTGCTTCCATTGTGCCAAAAATCCCGTGCGTACACATCGATCAAAAGAAAAACATATGTAGTATTCGTATATCTGCAATCTCGGTTGCCCCCCCCCCTCTTTAGTGGCACAGCGGTATATCTGTGGACTTATACTGCTAGAAACTGGGTTTAGATACCCGTGGTGGGCAGAGCACAGACAGCCCATTGTGTAGCTTTGTGCTTAATTAACAACAACAACAACAAAAAATGTACAAAAACATTCCACTTTTACTTTATTCAATTGATATGTCATTCTTCCAAAATCTATCTGAGAGCACACATTATTTTACACGTGGGACAGGCAGTAAGTCTACGGACTTACAATGCTAAAATCCAGGATTAGATTTTCTCACAGTGGACACGGCAGATAGCCCAATGTGAGTTTGCTTTAAAACCAAAACAAACAAACCCATTTTCTCTAGACACTCGTATTTACGTTACATAACATCGCGAGGTTCTTGTACGCTATTTTTTCTTCGAGATAATCAAGACATTCTACATTTTACCTAGAAATAAAGACACAAACCGAAGAGGTTTAAAGCTACATTGTAGCGAATAACTTTAAAATATTTTACCAATACGAATAAACGTTGAAACACATTGTTCAACACGAGATACAGACTCTAAAAACACAGTATCGTCTTTTTTTGAACTCTTATGACATATACACAATGTTTCTGTAAGATCTCTCTATATTTGATTATCTACAAACATCTATCTTTCAGAAACAATACTGTGATGATGAATATCATAACAACTTGGAAACTGCTGCACTGATGTAGTGAATAAATTTATAGATTTCCAAGTGTTGTATATTAAAACGATTTGGAATATTTAAGTCAGTAAGTCAATAGAAGGTCTCTGGTTTGTAGCATGTATCAGAACTAAATGTTGACATTTTCTTTAGCATTGCAGACAGTTTGATGCTACCGAGTGACCTCTTTTGGCAATAGCATGTAATAGGCCTCTCCGAAGCAAAATATTTATACACTTGGATCATAAAGGTGTTTTGATATTCCTTGTATTTAGTGGCATTGAAAAACAAAGGAATATAGATCACCTTGGGGCACCAACACCATCCAGGAAGAGACTTGCAACAAGTCGTAATTCAGCAATGATGAGCAAATCGCGGAGCCTTGTCATGCGGAGCAAAATTCATCTATCTGTCACAGGCAACGTTACACAACATAATCAAAAAGGATATTCATAGGAAAACGGGATCAACAAGTATGAATTCACCAAAATAAGGTTTCCAGTCATATCTGCAGTTCACTCGTTACACACATCAAACAGTTGAAGAATGGAACGAGCGTTCATGCTATTCAATACGAAGACAAATCCGTGAAGTCGCCGGAAGAAGACCGTGTGCAATCGGACTATTGAAATTGACGCTGGGAAATTGCTCTCCTTATATGATAGATGCCTTATAAACAGTAGTTACGGAGGAGGAGTGTGCATTGGACAAGCCAGTCGTATTATAAAGATGAAAACTGGTCAGACAGAACATAAACGTAAGTGGCGACATGGACTGTAACGACGTGATGAGAAACCAAAATTGTTTAACCTGAATAACATGTGAACTTAGAGAATGATATACTGAGATGTTATAAGAGTTTAAACTAATTATTACACTGGAATAGTGAGTAATATACAAATGTGGGTTGATTATACACAGAGATAGTATAACAGTTTAATCTACTACTACACTGAGATAGTAAATAATATATTATCTTGGGCTAGTGCTACACCAAGATAATATAACAGTTTAATCTACTACTACTACACTGAAATAGTAAATAATATATGATCTTGGGCTAGTGCTACACCAAGATGATATAACAGTTTAATCAACTACTACACTGAAATAGTAAATAATATATGATCTTGGGTTAGTGCTACACCAAGATAATATAACAGTTTAATCTACTACTACACTGAAATAGTAAATAATATATGATCTTGGGCTAGTGCTACACCAAGATAACATAACAGTTTAATCAACTACTACACTGAAATAGTAAATAATACATGATCTTGGGTTAGTGCTACACCAAGATAATATAACAGTTTAATCTACTACTACACTGAAATAGTAAATAATATATGATCTTGGGTTAGTGCTACACCAAGATAATATAACAGTTTAATTTGCTGCTACACTAAGATGATATAACAGTTTAAACTGATACTACCTTAAGATAATTTAACAGTTTAATCTACTACTACACTGAGATAGTAAATAATATATGATCTTGGGTTAGTGCTACACCAAGATAATATAACAGTTTAATTTGCTGCTACACTGAGATAGTAAATAATATATGATCTTGGGTTAGTGCTACACCAAGATAATATAACAGTTTAATTTGTTGCCACACTAAGATGATATAACAGTCTAAACTGATGCTACCTTAAGATAATATAACAGTTTAAACTGGCGTTAAACAAAGTATAACAGTTTAAACTAATGTTACTGAGCATAACAGTTACCACCTGACAGTCTTCTTTGCACGTTGGATGTTTCTTCCCTTTACACCAACATTCCACATGATGTCTTCCCTTTACACCAACATTCCACATGATGTCTTCCCTTTACACCAATATTCCACATGATGTCTTCCCTTTAAACCAATATTCCACATGATGTCTTCCCTTTACACCAACATTCCACATGATGTCTTCCCATTACACCAACATTCCACATGATGTCTTCCCTTTACACCAACATTCCACATGATGTCTTCCCTTTACACCAACATTCCACATGATGTCTTCCCTTTACACCAACATTCCACATGATGTCTTCCCTTTACACCAATATTCCATATAACGAGGGACTACAAACTCTAAAGTCCGCATTAAATATTTCTAACCAATCAGAATCTCAAACACCTTTATTTTACTTAAACACTTAAGAATAGTTTTAGATATACATATATTTATCCATTTCTAAAGTAAAATATCCCTAACATCTTTTCACCTACACTCTCGCCATCGGCTACACTGTACCGGAAATGAGATGCTTACAACAGTACATAGAGAAATAGACTAAACATTTCCTGGAAAATCGGATGACCTTCATGACGTCACTAAACTCCCATTATATATATATATATATATCACTCATTCAATTACACCACCATACATAGTTTGCCCCTGAAGAAGAAAGGTCCACCTTTCGAAAGCGCTCGGGTTATAGGGTTTTTATTAATTTCAAGTTTAGACTAATGTTGCTAAGCATAACAGTTTAAACTGATATTAAATTAAATATAACAGTTTAAATTGATGCTACACTAAGATAGTATGGATTTAGGTTTCAGCCAGTGTTTTTAAGTTCATGCTTGTCAGCGTAATGTAGAAAATAGAAGAATAATGGTTGGAGACGGCTTGAATGGGTAATGAAGAAAAACTTTAATACAAGTTTAACATAATACATAAGTACCTGATGATGACAAAACCTTGTCGAAACGTTG